TTAGGGGCAATGTATTACTAGGTCCATCTAGCATCTCTTGTCGGTAATGTATTAATCAAGGGTTCCGAGGTCTTTGTTTTCTTTATATGCAATTTTGGTATTATAAATGACAGTGTATATTGTTTTATGTGCAGTGGCAATTTTTATTCCTCCTTTGGATTACTTATGTAATTTATTTAATTGATCATTGTTTATTACTTAATTGTGCAGTTAACCTTATATTAATTTATATGAAAGAATTTTGGTATATTTAAGAGACAAACTACTTATCAGATAATCTTTTCCCATTGCATTTCTATGTTTTTTTTCCAAGAGGGTGGTTTTAACTAATCAAATATTTACTTTCATATGTGGTCAAATCTATCACTTTTTAACTGATAGCTTAGTTAGAGAAGCTTTCTCAGCCATTAGGTTGTATAGACACTTAAAAAAAATCTTGATCTCTCACAGTGAGGATGGAATGAGAAGGAACCTTGGGATTATACAGGTCTTGGATTAAATTCTGGCTCTGCCATTAACTATTTGTAACAGATTGTATTTTCCAAAGATTGCTGTAACCAAATCTCCTATATCACAGCTTTTCTCTAACTTCCTACCCTCTAGTGGAGGCAGGGAAGCAGTGTAATACAGCAGACAGGACTCCCAAGACTGGGGCAAAAGAAAAAACAAAGGATACAATCCCCAGCTTCTGCTTTTCTTCTGACTTCAGTCTTCCTCTGAGATTTTGGTCATCAGGGAGAAAAGACAAGCTCCAGGTTTACCTATGAAATTCTCACACAGTTCTGGTGAACACCACGTGTGCTCACCAATGTGGTACACAGCACTGTACTATGGTTTCAATGGAAAATTTCCCTCACAGGCATGCTTGACTATTTGGTCCCAGGCTGATGGCCAGGTTTAGAGAGGCTATGGAAACTGGTGTATAGAGCCTAGCCTGCCACTCACAGCTTTGAGGGTCAGTAGCTCACCCCCGCTCCAGTACAGCCTGTGTTCCCTGACCTTCCCATATCTAAACAGTTCAGGCTGAAGTCCCCTGCCATGGTGAATCCAACCATGCCTTCCTCACCACGAAACCTGAAACCAGGAGCCACGATAAACCTTGCCTGCCTTAAGCTGCTTCAGTCAAGGACTGACTTGGTCATCGTGATGACAACAGTCATGACCAGAAACTGCAATACTTGTCTATTTATGTCACCAGCCTGTTATCAGATTGCTTATCTATCAATTTGTCTATATTATAGAAACAGTGAAAAGTATGTAGGACTATATAGCTACACACATATATATGTAAGGTATTTAGAATTTGTCGAGCATATATAGTAAAAACTAATAATGATAGATGTGACACTTTTTAAAGTCAAAGTTTATTTGATTTTTTTCACAATTACAGCTTTAATACATGTGAAATTCATTTTGGATTAATGTATGAAGGTGTGTGAATTATTTGTTGGTCAATTGCAGAGTCACAAGTTGCCAACCCAAGTACAACTCTTTTTTTTTTTTCAAGTACAACTCTTAAGAGGATATCTGTAGGACTTCCGTGTCGCCGAGGCTGCCGCCGGCGGTGCGCAGAGTCGTGTCCGCTGGGGTCCAGTCTATGGAGTCAGTTGACTCAGCCAGCGGCTTGGAGGCAGGAGGCGGTGTCCGAGTGGGGACCTCTGCCCCGCCAGGATGTTTCCAGGCTTGGCCGCCGCCCTCGCGGCACACAGGCGACGCTGTGCAGGCTCAGTGGCGGCCGGGCAGTGGCCGGCGGCAGCCGCAGCCAGGGAAAAAATTTAATGACATTTGAAAGCTTTACATACATGGTTCCCAACAGTCACCCACATGTCTGTACTCTAAATAGAGTCAAGTTGTACTCTACAGATGTCTACAAAGGAGGGCAGGGATCACAGACTCCAAGAGCTGAGAAAGTCCCAACACTCAAGGAAACAGCAGAAAATACAGGCGCAGAACTCAAAGCTCCACTTAAACAAGATCCTATCCAAGTAAGAGTCAAAGCAGTCCTTAAGAAAAGTGAGTATGGATCAAAATACACTAAGAATAATTTCATCACTGGAGTAAGAGCAATAAATGAGATCTGTCTTAAATCCAGTGATTTAGAACAACTTCAAAAACTCAGACGACGAAGTCCCCACAATGATACCGAGTCCTTTACCGTGTTCTTGAGGTCAGACGTGGAAGCAAAAGCTTTGGAAGTTTGGGGAAGCCCTGAAGCTCTTGCCAGAGAGAAAAAAAATTGTGTAAAGAAGCAGAAATAGAATACAGAGAACGGCTGTTAAGAAACCAAAGAATATTAAGAGAATATGGTGATTTCTTGGGAAACACAAAGCCTCACTCCAGGACCATGTCAGTGTTCCTCAAGGGACCCAGAAAAGTGGTGATGGTTGCCATCTACATTAATGACTTAAACTGCTTCTTTAAATTCCTTGCCTGGATTTATACGGGTTCAGCAAGTATGTTCTCAGAAGCTATACATTCATTATCTGATACTTGCTAGCACTGGGCATCAGCAAGTCTGTCCAAACACCAGACCCTTCTCACCCGTAAGGACACTAACTCTGATTTGCATTTGCTATAAGTCGTTGAGATAAGAACCAAGGAATTTGAGAAGTCCGAACTTTATATAGCATCAGATTGAGATTGGGTCATTTCCTTTGTATTGTCTAAAGTGTGAAGGTCAAAATAAAGTCAAGACATAATTTGAAAAAAAAAAAAAAAAGAGGATATCTGTAAAATAATCCCTGTGTAATTACTCTAACACGTGAAAGAGGAGCATCTGCCAAATAAAGAAGATGTTTGGTGTGGCATCATTTGGGGAAAGAGATTTTCAGCCAGGTTTTACCCTGCTCTATTGCCCAAACTGCACACTAGAACTGGGGAGAATATCCCGTTGTGGGTGACATAAAAGAAAACATCCTCAAGGATGAGGACAATTTCATCCAGGTTGTGAGGAATCCTACATTTAAGAGTCTCCTCTTTCATGGGTAATGTCCTCAGACCCTGCACCCTGTTTCTCAAGAGAAACAAAACAAACTTCATTTTCCAACCTGGCTCATCGTGTTTGAGGGCTCTATTCCCAATGTTGGGGTTGTTTCCCAACTTAAAACTTAGAGAGAGGATAGGGTTGGGGGTAGCTCAGTGGTAAGGTTCCTGCTTAGTGTTCGTCATGCCACCCCCTCTAAAACTTAGAGAGAAATGGAGCAAAGAAGTGAAGGAGGAAAACGTTAATAAAAATGTGGTCTCAGTTACAGACTAGCTGTAGACTTGTCCCATTTATAAAATGTGCTGGGCATAAATTATACCACAGACTTATCCATACCTTGGCCCAATACTCTAGACACTCATTGGTTGAGAGTTTAGCAAGTGGACAAAGCAAATCCTGTTTGGCAGAGAGAAAATCTATAGATAAGCAATCCACTGAACTCTCAAAAGTCAAAGATCCATGCAACTGGGTACATTGACCAGGACAGAGTCTGCGCAGCACCAAAACCCATGTTGGCATAAAACCCCAGTGCTGTGAGGCTCCTGTTCCTGGTATCTGTTCATGAAGCACAGAACAAGCTTACAACTTTTCATGCTCAGCAAAATCCAAATTTGGCCTTGTTAAACATTGGTTCGGGATCTTTTTAAGGGTTATTTTGAAACTCACTGCCAAATAACATTCTTTTTTCCTGCATTGACCTCTACAATCCTCATGAGTTAAGGGTTAAAAGAGTCCAGATACATCAAAATTCCATAACACAAACTCAAACTCCCACATTACATTGCCTTTTCCAACCTGCTTGTCTATTCTGAAAAACTATTTCCACGGTTTCTGGTTTGGTTTGATTTGGTTTGGTTTGGGGGTTTGGGGTTGGTTAGGAGGGGTGTTTATTTGTTTTGTGGTTTTTGTTTTGTGTTTTTTATCCAACCTTGACTATAAAGTCCAAATTGGGAATTCCCCAAAAATAACAACTACATTCTCCAACACAAGACAAGGCGAGAAAGTTCATTTAATTCCTCAAGTAGAACAATTTGTTCATTGGAGGATTTGTTGTGGCATAATATAGTTGAGAAGGCTCACAGGAATCCAGGAGCAGGAATTGCAGTAGGCTTCCTAACCAGAGAAACTTGGTTACCCCCTGTCCATCTTGGCCCCTCCTGTGATGCTCCAGTGTCTGTGCTACTCTGGTTTTGTTTATACCTTGGTGCTTGATGCATGTGCTGTCTGCATATTTCTCCTCTTACTGGTGTTAACTTCTACTCTTTCATTCTTTCTGCTACTCATAACTCTGTCTTACGGTGGCATACATTATTACCCAAATACCATGTCCTAGTTAACTTTGTCAGCTTAGCACAATCAATTAAGAAATTGCTTAGATCAGATTGCCTTGTGGATATGTCTGTGGGGGACAATCTTGATTATTCCTATTGACATAAGAGAGCCCAGACCACTGTGGGTGGTATCATTCCTAGGCAAGGGGTCTTGTATTGTATGAGTCAGCTAACTAAGCATAAGCCTGCAGATGAGCTATCAAGCATTGTACTTCTATGGTTCCTGCCTCCAGGCTCCGGGCTCGAGTTCCTGCCCTGACTTCCCTCCGTGTTGGACTAAGATTTGGAAGTATAAGCCAAACAAGCCCTTTCCTATCCTCAGTTGGTTTGGGTCAGGATGTTTTATCCCAGCAACAGAAAGGAAACTAGAATGGTACCTCATGCTATCTGCAGATTCTGTTACCTTTAACTATGATAGAAACCCATTTCCACTTTTTCCTTCATTCCCATCAGAAGAAATTGGGTATTCAATTTTGAACAAGACCTCAATCCCTAATCCAATCACCTGGTTCAACCCAGAGCCTTGATAATACAAACCAGATCCACGCACACTAAACTGTTTCTGCATCAATGACAACGTCCACAGATTCCTAAAGTTTTGTTGTTTAATCTTTCTGTTTGTTTAGGTTTTTCTCACCAGAGATTTCCCCCATGAAATCTACTAGACAAAAATTTGTCTCAGAACATCAGAAAATTGGGAAGCAGGGCCCACACCTTCCCTATCCCCAGAATCCATGGATCAAAAGTACTGAGCCAGGAAGGCTCAGAGATAGTCCAAAGAGAATCCCAACTCAGAGGACTTGGTGCAGACCAGGACAGCATACTCACAGGTTTTCCTGTACAAAGTGGGGATATGATTTTGACCCAAGACTTTATGTTTTCATATAAGAGGTCACCAATTCTGAGCCTACTCACAAGGAGCATTGTCAGTGAGCCGAAGTGCCCTGCCAGATGGGAGAACAAGAATTTGCAAAGATTTGCTTGGCAATGACGCTGAGCTTCCAGCCCAATTTCTCCTATGACTACTTCCCTTTTCAGTGCCAGGTGACTTTCTCACTTACCATTAGTTAGGAGAGGAAAGCAAATACAGACTTTGGGGGAAAGGGAGTGGGTAGTAAGTTGAAGAATGACCACAAATCCATAGGAAACTCAGAACTAGGGTCCCATGGGGAGGTTGCAATAGTTACTATGTTTGCAACAGATGAGCTCTGTCCTCTTTTCAAAACTCAGGAAGTTGATGTCCTCACAGTTGGTCATACACGACAGTCTTGAGTAATGATACATGCTCTGCCCTGAGGAAGTCAAAGAGGAAAAGAATTTTAAAGACTATTCATTCTTTCTATATCCCTGGAAATAATTTATCTTCAAACTATCATAGACTTCTCCTTCTCATTGCTAACCCACAGACGGGATTTTATTACAGAACTGACCAAAGACAACAACCCCTCCACCACTCAGTGTTATCTTAGGGAAAGGTCCATCTTTCCACCCCTGTACAAGACCACTCATCCTCATCAACTCCACTACCCCACTCATCCTAAGCACAAAGAGCACTACTATTTAGAAGGGAAGGTGTGGTTAACTGCCCATCACTCTACTCCCCACATTACCTTTCGTTGTGAGTACGTAAATGTTCTCAGCAGCACAAGACTGTCTATGCTTCAGTGTGCAGGAACTCATGACTTCATAGCATAACCCAAGATGATATTTGTTACATTTATAGCACATGGTTCCAAGATCTTTGAGATACAGAAAAAAGTACTTGGTGATTGTGGTCTCTGAGAAAATTTTTGCAATTAGATCCTTCTTTGTGGGAAGTTAACTATTAATCCATTAGTTCTAACCTTGCCCAAATAGGACTCCTATAATAATTATGAGAGAGAGAAATGTTTTGTTTTGTTTTGTTTTGTTTGAGACAAGGTCTCTCTATGTAGCCCTGGCTGTCTTAAAACTCTTCATGCAGTCTAGACTGGCCTTGAACGTACAGACATCCACCTGCCTTTGTCTCCCAGGTGCTGGGAATGTGAGTGAGACAGAAGCTTATAGACATAAAACAAATGTATACCATTTGAGGAAGTCAGGCTTCCTGTAGAATTTACCAATAGGGTTCAAGTAATAAACATCTTGTCTAAACTGAATATTCTGTCAGTAATGGGTAAAAGGAAACAAAGGTATTTTCACTTCCTTACTAATAGAAATAGAGGAAGTATGCCAGGAGAAGACTGGACTCTACGGATTCCATAGTAAATTGAAGGGAAGTTTACTACTAAACATGTCACAAATGAACTGTTTACCAAAACCTTTACACCAGCCATGGTCATACCTTCATGTTCATGAAGGTCACCTACAAAGAGAAAGAAAGGTGGTCTCCATTGTCATAATCTCCCAGACCTCCACAGCCCGAAAGCCAGTTTTGGAAACCCCTCCTTTCCCAGCATCTAGTCACTTCTTAAGTAGCCACCAGTTGCCTCCTTATCACTGGGACTTACCCCAATACAGGGAGGACAGAAACACCATCCCCAGCATCAACAGAGCAAACATCCTGCAACCCTGGTCTTCAGCAGCTGCCTGTGGAAGGTACTGGCTCTTTTCTCACTTGAGAGGAGTGGTTGACCTGTCCTTGGGCTGTTCATCTGAATTCCAACGTCATTAATTTTCCAGGACAGACAGTACCTCTCAGTTCCAGGATCAAGTCATTGTGTCTGACTCCCTCAGGACACACCCTAGATCCTAAACATAAAGTTGTGACCTCCCCCGATTCACCACACCTGCTCCTGCTTCTGGACTGCAGGTCTTGGCAAATCCTGGAGTCCGTCTTTAGAGCTCCCTTTGTCCCATCCTTAAAGGAGAGTAGCAGCAAACCTCAGCCATTCTACCTGCTGACTTCCCTGCAGACATTTCTCTGTTTCCACTGCCTTTGCCATGATCTGAGCCATCTTTATCTCGACTGACCAATAACTTTATTGTTTGGCTTCCTTGCCTCTACTTTTGCCCATTCATGGTGATTTCTCCAGGTAGAAGCCAGAGAACCATTTATAAGTCACAGGTGCCATGCTGCCCATCCAAACCCTCCAATGACTTCTCAGCGTACTTAGGAAAAAGGCCTTCTCTGGAGAAATAAGTAACAGCTTCCTCTCCAATGTCTTTCCCAGCCATAGTGGCCTTGCTGATTTAGGTCCTGACTCGGATGCCCCCAGACAGCTACAGCAGCATTACCTCAGCAGTCTGTGGAAAGCAGCACCTCCAGTTTACTCCCTGTCTCACCTCCTGGCCTTGCATATCTGCTTCTTCATGTCTTGGCTCCTTCTCTAGGACAAAGCAAGAGTTTTGTTTTATTTAATGTGACATGCCATGCAGCTGGGGGCTTTGGATATAGAAAACACCTGATAAATATTTGTGAGATGAATGAGTGATAGCCTCACCACACCCACTTTTGCATTCATAGTTCATTTTCCACAGAGCAAACAGGTTTATCAGATTGTTTTTCTTTGATTTTGAGATTATAGTACAATTACATCATTTCCCCCCTTCCCTTTCCTCCCCCCAAACTCTCACATATGCTTCTCATTGCTCCCTTTCAAATTCATGGCCTTTTTGCATCAATTGTTGTTACATGCATATTTGTATATGTTTGTACATATATCTATATATTCCTAAATATATCCTACTCATTCTGTATAATGTTACTTGTATGCATGTTTTCAGGGCTGAGCTTTTGATATTGGATAACCAGTTGGTGTGCTCTTCTCTGGGAGTGATTATTTCTCCCACTCTGAACGTTTCTTTGTTGCCTATAATTCTTTATGTAGGGTTGCAGCCTCATGGGCTCTCCCCATCCATATTTACATGTCTATTGTTGTCTTTGTTTAGCTCATGTTTAGGCAGTCATGTTCGTGACACTTTATGCATGTAACTTCTGACATTCCTAGGAGATACAATCTCACAGCAAACTCCCTTTTCCTCTGGCTCTTATAATCTTTATGGCTCCTCTTCCTCAATGATCCTTGGGCCTTAAGCATGGGAGCTGAATTATAGATACATCAATGGGACCGAACGCCATGAACTTTGCATTTCTAATTAGCTGTGGTTTTCTGTAATGGTCTAAATCTATTGCAAAGAGAAGCTTCCTTAATGAGGAATAAGGACTATACTTATCAGTGAGCATGACACATACATTCAGGGATTATGCTAGTTTAGTAAAGTGGTAATTATAGGTTCTCCTCCAAGATACATGACTTCACTAGCCCTGGGTAGTTTCTAGGCTTCCAGTACCAGGAAGGATTTCCCTCTCATTGAATGGGTCTTAAGTCCAAGTTAAGAGAGTTGTTAATTACCACCAAGACATGCATGCCTCTAGTGCCCCCTTAAGGTTACTGTGGCTACGCTGGTCATTGTTGGGATTCATGTGCATCACAGCTGGGTAGAACTTTTGACTGCTCCCCTGTTTTGGAAGCTTGCATAGTGCCTTCTGGTACCAAGAAAGCTAATCCCCAGGGAGGATGCATTCAGGTCAGATCAAACTCATGGGCCTCTGGGTCTTGTATCTGAAGAACATGGACTTAACCTTCCAATTCTGGGGAGGCGCCTAAGGACAGTAGTGACAATCTTTATGTTTATGGAGTCTCTTGGTAAACCTGTCCAAAAACTGAAAAGAGAGCTTCTCCTGCCTAGGGTTAAAGTTTTTGTTAGGTTGTCTTTGTTCCTTGAAGAAAGCATTGTCAGCCAAAATGAGAATGTTTTATTTAAACTATGTATGTATACTTATACACTGACTTATGTATATTATAGGTTTTTAGGTAAATAGTTTGTAGTATGATTCCTTATGACTTTTTTAAACATCCTTACTGTTATTTTACCCTCCTTCTTCTACAATATCTGCCCCCATACTTAGCCCCCCCCTTTTTATTCCATTTTCCCAATCAGATCACCTGTTCCCTACTATTCCCCTCTCTATTGTTCACCCATTCCCATACCCTAACAATGGTCCCTTTTTACTTTCCTCATAAAGAAATATGCAGATCAACAGATCAACATGAAATAGTAAGTTAGTCTAAGTGAAAATAAATACTTGAATTCTAAGAAGAATCTCTTCTTTAGTTAATTATACATTTCAATAAAACAGTGGCTAATAAGTTAAGTAGAATTCAACGGTGATTTTTTTTAAGTAAAAATCTAACTCTATTAGACCATGACAAGGAAGGCAAATCATCATGTTGCCTTTCTTGCTTAACCAGTAAAAAAAAATAGTTACTATAAATACAGCAGGTAAACTACTGAACTGACCAATCCAAAGCAAAATGTACTGAATTTCAGTCTCCAACTGTACTAAATGCTCATCATTAGTATGGCACATTTTGATCCATGATGTGGCATAATGTCAAGACAGGTCACTATTTGTTACAGAAACACATAGATACTGTTTTATAGCATAAGCCAGGCATATGTCCACACACAAAGAAAGGTGCTCTTGGGAAGAATTTTCAAGAAATAGCCTGGAATACACTGAGTAATATGAGGCTCTCCATGACAAGGTATGCTGGGTGAAACTGAAAAAAAAGGATATCTTAAACTATCATCTAATGCCATGATAGCTCCCTGGTTCCCACAATGATAAAAGTAATTGTACCCAAAAAAATAAAAATTACATTTCAGTCATGGCACCAATCTATTATGCTGGTGAGCATGAGACACTAACTTACTATTGGCATAGTTAAATGTTTCAGAAGTATCTTATCCCAATGTGTAGTCAGTACCACATGGTAAGTTACCCTATCTCTCACAATCATCTTAACACAACCACAACCAATTATACATTGAACCCTCATGTGAAATTTCTTACAAACTACTACCCAGTATATCTATGGATGGGAGAGGCCATCATGGACACAGAGTCTCTCCATCCATCTACCACATCTCTAAGTGGAAGACAATCAAATAGATCTGTAAAATACGTCCACACATTGGCACATCCATAATTTTATAGATATTCACAGTAAAAGTCGTGTGCTTGAGAGACTTCTTTTTTTTTTCTTTTTCTTCTTTTTTCCTTTTTTGCTTTATAGACAATACTATAACACATTCTGAAGACAACACTTTTAATGCTACAAGAGTGGCCACAGGCTCCAGGGAATAATTACCTCTGTTTGCATGTCACCTATGAACTGATACTTTGCATCTTGATTTTCTACCAATTCTAAAGAGTCCCATAAGGTCATAGAATTGACCATGTCTCCACAGATGCTATAAGGTTAATAAAGTTCCTGTACATTTTGGTTCTTTGTTAAATTTTCCTTAGATTTTGTACACAGCATCTATATTCAAACTTTAACCCATTGGTTCAACTCCTTAGTGTCCACTCTGGTTCCCTGATGACTCCTTCTCCTTGTCCTCACTGCCCACACCACTGGCTGTTTGTCTCCTGGCCACTGCCTGTTCCTGACAGAACACCAAAGAGCCCCACCTCATCTAACAGGGAACCTGAGGGATCAGAAATGGGAACAGAGGGTCGTGGAGAGGAGCAGCTGAGCACAGTTCTTGCCTACTGCTGCCTCATGCCAGCCTTTCCTGGCTCTTGCTCACTCTCTCCAAAATTTCTCTCTTAATAAAATAACTGCATCCTAACAAAATACAGAAAGTGGTATCTGAAATAGGCCTTGTCGATAGTCTTCAAAACCTCTCTATATTCTCAGCAACTAAAGGCAAAATAGAAGCCTGTGATGTCTTTCTCCACTCTGTGCCTGCCTCCTTTTCTTCAGGTTATCTGCTTACCTCGGTGCAAAAGCATGTCAAACAGGGAATTAATCACTGTCTAGTCAATCAGGTCCAGGAACTGTGGAGCCTAGAGCAATCATCCACAAAGTTAAGGTTACACCTTGGAACAGGAGCAGTCATCTTTGGAGAACCAGTCCATGCCCTCAAGCAATAGGTTCTTCTTAGATCAACTGAGCAATGATTAAGCCTGCCCAGTTAAGCAGTTTAAATTTGTTTCCTATTTAAAAATAAAACTCATATCAGGACCACAAATAAAGTGCCATCACACCTCTCTAGTTGCTTCTACCAACGTGGCCACATTTATTAAATCTCTTCTCCGTGTTCCTTGACATTATATTAGAGAACTTTAAAATCATCCTAAAAATGATTATACCTGCACACACATACACACATGTGCACACCACACCTATGTGTGTGCTCATTAATAGCCTTGGCATTTTAGACTTTTATTGAAGCTTAACCTAGTGGTGCTGTTAGAGCCAGGGGTTTTGTCCAGAAACTCCAATTATACACTATTTACTAAAAGGAATTTGGACTAATTTAACAATTTCATTTATGTGACCATTCACTACAAGACAATTTATTACCATGCAACAATATAAGAAAACATAAACACATGTAGATAATGCATGCATACACATAGCCAGGCATAGGGAGACTTTTTCTTTTTATTGACAAGAGATTATTTTCTCATACAATATATATTGATATATAGCTTTGCAGTTTCCCCTCCCTCTACTCCTCCAAGTTCCTCCCTACCTCACCTCATCTCCAGATCCACTCCATTTCTGTCTCTCATTAGACAAGAACAGGCTTCTAAGAGATAACAGCCAAACATGACAAAATAAAATATAATATTATAAAACAAAAACTGTCAGATCAAAGTCAGGCAGGACAATTCAACAAAAGGAGTACTAAGAGCAGGCACAAGAATCAGAGACTCACTCGTTTTCACACTCAGGAGTCCCATTTAAAAAAAAAAGCTAAAAGCTGTCATATATATGCAGAGGACCTGGTGCAGACTTGTGCTTGCTGCTTCAGTCTTTGTGAGTTCATGTGTGCCTTGTCACTTGATTCAGAGGGCCTTCTCTTCCCGGGGTCCTCCATCCCCACTGGCTCTTACACTCTTCCGCCTCCTCTTCTGAGGGGTTACCTGAGCTCTGTGGGGAAGGATTTGATGGAGACTTCCCATTTAGACTGTCTATCCATGTAATGTCTGGCTTTGGGTCTCTGCATCTGTTCCCATCTGCTGCCAGAGGAAGCCTCTCTGATGATGATGACTGGCTAAGGCATTGATTTTACATGGGGATATTTTTAAACACAAAGATTTTTCAGTTCTTATTTATTTATCACTTGCCAGTCTTTATGTTAGACTATTGATCTGATTTTCTTCAGATCATTAAATAATCTTTACTCTAACATCTGCACTTCTAAAGACAGAACTCTTAAGACAAAGTAGAAATTTCAAATTTCAAAGACACCATGCCTAGGGTAATTATAAGACTCTAAGCAGGTTGAGAAAGCAACAGTAGCTTTATCCTTAAATTACCTTCTTTTCTTTAGTTTCAAATTGGCCAAGATAAAAATCTTTTTTTTAAAAAAAAATGATGTCTTGAAAGGGAACACAGGTAACTTAATGTCACAAGTGAAATTTAAAATTATTCAAAAATGATTACACCCCACACACATACACACATATGCACACCACACCTATGTGTGTGCTCTCACATGTCTGTAATCAGGCATGCCCCAAATAGTAATTTTATCACACAATAAGTTAAAAATGTGAAAATGAGGTTTGGCTACAAATTTTGTTACTCAATTTTGAAGAATTCTATGACAAGACTGAGTTTTGCTGCACATGGTTGAATACACAAAACAACACATAAATGATTACATGAAACAATTGCCATAAATACATATGACACCATTACTAAACAAGAATGTACTTTTAGTAGAAAAGACATAGAAAATTTTAATAACTGTATATTTGAGATGTAAGAAAGGCCTAGTGACTGCCAAAGGGTCAAGGGATGAAGTTTGTTGTATAGATTTGGGTTAATTTCCCATTTTAATAGCTAAGTAGCAAAATGGGAATATCCTTCCATCCTTTGGCCAAATTTCCAGCATCTATCTTATAATGAGACCAGATGATGTTACAATAAAATATTAGACCTTTTTTCCTTTAGGATGAAATTTATTCCAATTTTTAAAGATTTATTGTAGTGGCATGCCTCGGGGAATTGAATTTTCTAGGGGGAGTTACAAGAAAAAGAAAGATTCTGGAGTCAGGATAGTGTTCATCTCGCCTACACACAAAATCCTCCAGAGGCCTGACAGGTTGGGCGTCTCCTAGTTCTATAACCCTACTAGATGTCATCAGTGAACCAATCATGTCCTAGCAGAGATTTACAAACATTAGTTTGCACCCCTAACTCTCTTGGGCCTATTTACCCCCGAGGTGGTCTGAGCCCATGGTTTTCTGTCTCTTCTTATACCTTATCCTGAGAAAGTGGGAACAAGTTGATTTTATGGGTTTCTTTGTCATTTATTTTACCACTGTGGCATAACATCTCCCCCACTAAGAGGCTGTAAAAAGGCGCAAGCTACTAGGTTCCGAGAAGAGGCTTGCCTGAAAAAAATGGGTCTGGTTTTGTGCTTTGTTTTTCAGATTGCCATCCAGGTTAAAATTGCAAATGGATATTATTTTTCTATACTTCATGTTCAAAGAAGTGTCT